GGGGGGGGAGGAGCATGAGGCTAGTGGGAGACGGACAGAACTGTCCCACCCGGGAAGCCGGGGCTGAATTGCCCCAAGGGGATTGCCCTGCTCCGCCCACACACCAGTGCCTACGGCCGAGCCCCTAACTGGGTGCAAAAACACCTCGCCCTGACACATGCCACGCTATGCCGTAGTCCCGCCCCCCACTCGCCGATGGGTGTCCGGAAGTCCCTGGCTCAGGGTCATTAGAAACAGGCGGGCAACCCCCCCCCGGGCCCCCCACCCAGCAGGCAGTGCTGAAAGAGAGCGAGGAGGGAGGGGCTACTCTACGGGGAGGGGAGGGGGCGGAAGGGCATGTGCGGGACCCACCTGGTCTGCTAACGGACGGCGAGGGTCCCCCCGATCCCTCCATGTGACAAAAGCAGAGTCATACAGAGTTACCTGATGAACAGCTAGGATGAAACGGAGAAAACAGATGGGTCAAGGCCCCCGTGGGCGTCAGCGGCTGCAGGCCGGGGGAGGGAATGGGACCCCTCCCCCTCCAGGCTGGCAGAGGGGTGTGAGGGGCCCCGACCCCACCTAACCCAGCCACTTGTCTCAGGTTCCCCCTTCCAGGTTGGGGAACCCCTGGAGATTGGGGGGTGGAGCCTGGAGAAGGTGGGCTTGGGGAGGGGCCTCAGCAAGGCATAAGGCCACAGAGCCCTCCAAAGCAGTTGCCATTTTTCCCAGGGGGAACTGATCTCTGTAAATCTGGAGATTAGCTGTAATTCCAGGAAATCTCCATGCCCCTCCTCCAGTTGTAATTCTGGGAGGTCTCCAGGCCCCACCTGGAAACTGGCAACTGACTTTGGAAGGGGAGGTGCCTCAGCAAGGCATAAGGCCACAGAGCCCTCCAAAGCAGTTGCCATTTTTCCCAGGGGGAACTGATCTCTGTAAATCTGGAGATTAGCTGTAATTCCAGGAAATCTCCAGGCCCCACCTCCAGTTGGAATTCTGGGAGATCTCCGGGCCCTCCCTGGAAACTGGCAACCCCGCTCCCTCCCCACAGACCACCCGGTCTCGTTGTCCTCCTCTCTGGAGGCGGAGGGGGCCGTCTTCAGAGGTGAGGAGGGGGCTGGTGGGGCAGGGGCAGAGATGCGGGGGTGGTGGTGGCCTGAGCAGCACCCCCAACTGGGCTGGGCCAGTCCTGGGAGACGGGCACCCTCCTGAAGCCACCGCGGCTTCCCTGCCTACCAGGGCTGCACTGGGGGTGGGGTGGGGGGTGAAGCGGCCTCCCTGTTGCAGCTGACAGTCACTTCCACGCGGGTTGTTGTTGTTTGCCCCGGCTGGGATGCTACTGCTGCTGGGAAGCGGGTTTGTTTCCCGCTTCCTCACAGCATCGGGGGTTTTCCAGGCACCTCCCCAGCTTCCCCGTCTCTCTTGCAATCTTTCCCAAACCTGCCCTGACGCCCTGTTTCCGGAAAGGTTGCAGCAGAACTGGGGATGGGGTGTGGCTGGAGAAGTCCAGATCTGCTCAGTCCCACCCACCTGGGCACCCTTTTCATTGCCCCATTTACCCCCATGGTGGCCTTTCCCTCCCTCTTCCCAATGGGGCTTTTGTTTAAATAGGCACTTGACAGATCATTATAGAGTTATAACATTGTAACAACCTGTATATCCCCAGCTTTCATTTTTAAGTAGCTTTCTCTGGACAGGCAGCTTAGATTCCCCCCCCCCCTTGAATAAATAATTAATTCAATATTTTTACTAGTAAATCTCTAGCCCCGTTTCCCATACTTATTTATTTAAAACATTTGTTAGTTGCCTTTCTCCCTTGCCGAACTGCAGGTTGCTTACAATACAAATAAAACATTTTAAAAAACCCCCCAACAATAATAAAACCTATAAAAGTCACAGATTAAAAACTCTAGTCAGAAAACCTGTCCTTAGCTGCCTCCTAGCCTCTTCACAGGAAGAGGACTAGAGACTTACCTTCTAAACGAAAGCCAGGAATTCAGAGAACCTGATGCATTGTTATAACACCATAATGAGATTTCAATTGCTGATTAAAAAAACAAAACAGCAACCTGGAAAAGCTCCCATGTGGGGCGGGGTAGGGTGGGGTAACCACCCTGGGGGGCCGAGAGTGGGAAAATGCAGGGAAACTTGCTTATGTGGAAGTCGTTCTGACACTGTGGTGTATCAGCCTCGCAACAGCATTGGGGAACCAACACAAGACTGTCCCCGCGTGAACCCCTGGTGGGGTGGCCTCTCAAGCTGTAACCTCTCGGAGCCATTTCCCCAGTGGCGAGCCCGTCCCCGGAGGCACTTGTAATGCAAATGAGCATTCTAGCCAGTGACTTGGATCATACATTTGCATTATAGACCCAAGTGCGGGCCGCACTTGCCTTTCCACTCTGGGCAACCTGCTGCAGAGCGCATGTTCACCCTCCCGAGGCCGGGCCTGCCTCCCAAGCTCTGGCGTATGGCTGCCTCTTCTACGGACACCGTGGGAGAAACCAGAGGCCCAGTCCCCGGTGTCCCCTCCGCCTGCCCAGGCCTCACAGCCTCTCCTTCTTAACGTGGGGCCCGGGCCACAGGGAAGGCGAGTGCCACGAGGGTCACCAGCCGGTCGCTGATGCGGGCCCCCCGATCTGGACCCCAAGCTCCCCCCCCCAGCCTCCACAGGCGCCCCGGGCCCAGCCCCGCAGCACGAGGACAGACAGAAGCACACCAAGGCATGCGCGGGCAGACGGACGGACAGGCAGACGGGGGTGGGGGGTGGGATGGCCATGGAGACACGGAATAGAACAATGACATTGTCATTTCCACCTGAGCGTCGAGCAGTCGTTTCCGCGGTTCGGAGGCGTCGAGGGCGACCGAGTGATCCCTGCGCAGTTCCTCCTCCACCAGCATCAACCTGCAGGGACAGGCTTCACTGGAGTCAATCCGGGCCCCCCCACCCAGCAGGCAGGAGGCGGGGGCCGGGGCCGCCAGCAGCTGCGGGGAGGGGGGCTCCCAAGGGCGGGGCCGCGGAG